CCTGCTACCCTAATAATTAATAACTGCATGCGTGGCGTTTAGTTTAGAGGACACTACTAGCAGTGCAAAGGAATACTTAGCAAGGACACCTAGCTAAATTAGACTAGTTTTAGTTTAAGAAGGCAGAGGACATAACAGCAATACTTTAAACTATAACTACTAATAGGGACTATCAGTCTACAGAGGGGGGGGTAGTGTAACGATTCTCGTTCCATCTCAGGTCGCCCAGAACCCATCTGAAGGGTCCCCGTATCGGCTCCGACCCTGGCTCGACCCTGACTCGACCTGGCCCTGACTCTGCCCTGCCCCCTGCTGTTACCCCTATTCCCTTATGTATTTAGTTGCACCTCGCCCCTGTAGCTAGCTTGGTAGTTTTCTGATATCCTACGTACAAGGCCTATAGGTGTCATTGGTATTCCCAGGTTTCTGAGTCCCCACGCACTCCCATATGCCTCTGAGTGGATTCATACCGCATTCGGACCCATTGTCTTGCCTGCGCCGTTACAATAAAGAGTAGATTAAACTCTATGTAATAAACATAGGACATTATAACCTAATTTTAAAATAACTATAGCTATATTAGCACAAGGTTGCTTTTAATTACTAAGAGTAAGTTCTAAACTTTAACTTTTTTTAATGCTAAGATATATGCTTACGCTTACACCTAAACAACACCTAAGTAGCACTTAATACAGAAGGTCTCTAGACCTACTCCCTAATAACCTAGAGAAGAACTACCTAAGTAAGGCTAATAAGCTAGGCCTTTTACTAAGATAGGCTATATAAAATAATTTAACAACTGCCTAAACTTAAAGAAAAAAAAGCCTTTAAAAAATCTTTACTTACTTAATTTAGACATAAACTAGGACTTAAACAGCAGATAGACATCTGCTACATAAAACCTGCCCTATTTATAACCCTAGCTTAATAACTAAATTACAAAATCTACGCAGTTATAATTTCTAATATGTAACAATCCTCATAAATCGTTCCATCTCAGATAGCCTAAAAGGCCCCCATATCAGCCCCAACCCTAACCTAGCTCCAACCCCTGCTGTTACCCCTATTCCCTTATGTATTTAGTCGCACCTCGCCCTGTAGCTAGCTTAGTAGTTTTCTAATATCCTACGTACAAGGCCTATAGGTGTCATTAGTATTCCCAGGTCTCTAAGTCCCCACGCACTCCTATATGCCTCTAAGTAGATTTATACCGCATTCAGACCCATTGTCTTGCCTGCGCTGTTACATAATATAGACTAAGCTTTAGCTTCCTAAAAACGCACTAACCTAAAAATAATAGTTTTTTAAAACTACTATAACCTGTTGCATGTCTTTTTTTAAGACAAGTCTAATAAGCTTTTAATACAACATTTATATAATTACTAGATAACTCTTAAGCCTAGTAAACAACCTAGTTATAGGCTACTATATAAGATGTTACTAAACAAATTAAAAGTGCTCTAAAAATACCTTAATAAGAACTTAAAAAAAAGGTTTATTTAAGCTAGCTTTTTACTAGTAGCGTTACCTGTACTATTTATAAAAAAACTTAAAAGTAAGCTTTAATTTTATGTTAACTACTAAAGACTAAACACTGTTACTATTAAAAACTAATACTTAATTCTTTTTTTATAGAAAACTCTAAGCTAACTAAGTAAAGTAAAGTATTTTATAAAGTTAAATATTATTACTGCCTTTAATAAGCTAAGGATAGTAAAAGGTAATAAGTAGCTAACAGCATTTTAGACCTAATATAGACTATTTAAGTACCTAGTAATACCCTTTAGCTTAGCTAACGCGCTTAGTACTTTTTAACATTTTATAAATAACTTGCTTTAACTCTACCTAGACATGTTCTACACTATGTATATTAATAATATTCTAATTTATAGTAATAGCCTTTTAAAGCATAAATAGCATGTACGCTTAGTGCTAAAGGCTATAAAAGAAGTAGGTCTATAACTTAACATAAATAAATGTAAGTTCTACTAATTAAAGGTTACATATTTAGAATATGTAATCTTTATAAATAGCATCTAAATAGACCCTGTTAAGGTTTAGACTATGCTAGATTAGTAATACCTAAAAGACATAAAGAATGTTTAAGCTTTTATAAAATTTACTAACTTTTACTAATAATTTATTAACAACTTTTTATAGCTAGTAAGTCTTATAATTACACTTACTAAAAAAAAAATTTAATTTAACTTTAACTTAAATTACTAATAGTTTTTTAACTAGCTAAAAAAAGCCTTTACTAAAGCTCTAATACTCTACTACTTTAACTTTAAACTACTAATACTTATAGAAGCTAATGCCTTAGACTACATAGTAGCAGGAGTTTTTTCTTAGACTAAGCTAGACAAGACTATTAGGCCTATTACATACTTCTTAAAAAGAATAAGCTTTATAAAAGGTAATTATAAGATCTATAATAAAAAATTACTTACTATAGTACACTACTTTAAATAATAGCAACCTAAACTAAAAAGTGCAGCGCATCTAATACAGGTCCTATCTAACTATAAAAACTTGTAGTACTTTACAACTATAAAATAACTTAGCTACTAATAAGCTTATTAGTTTAAATACTTATCTTATTTTAATTTTAAGATTACTTATTATTCTAGTTAAAATAAAGGGAAACTAAATGCCTTTATAAGGCAATTCTAAGACATTTTTACTTAGAAAAAAGTGTAAAAGGCTTAACACTAAACTTTACTTTAACTTAAGCTATTTTTAAACCTTAACTTAAATAAAATAAATTAGATAATTAATTAAATTATTACTAATAAGTATCTAAATAATAAATTTATTTAAAAAACCTTAGACCTGCTTTAAAACAGCGCTAGTTAGTTAAAAAAGGTAACACTAGCTAACTATAAAAACTAAAATAGTAAGCTATATTACTATAACTAACTTATAATTTTTAATTCTAATAAACTAAGAATTAAACTACTTTAAATTATACATAACTTGCCTGTTAAAGGACACTTAGGCAGAGGAAAAACTCTTAACCTACTACAGAGAGAGTACTACTAGCCCTGCATGTTCTATACTGTACGCTAATATATATTATGTTGCTATACTTACTGTAAAGTAAAGGCCTCTTAAAAAAAGTATAATAGCCTACTTAAACTACTTCTAATTTCTAAATAAGCTTAAAAAGACATATTAATTAATTTTATTATTAACTTACTTTTATTTAAAAGGTATATAAATATTATAGTAGTTATTAATTACTTAACTAAGTATTAACACCTAATACTATGTTTCTTTATAACTGCCTTTAATATAGCCTAGTTATTCTACTAATATGTATAAGTTTACTATAGCCTACCTAATATAATTATATTAGACAGAGGTATACAGTTTATCTTAGCCTTTTAGAATAAACTTTATAAATAGCTCTAAATTATTCTTTATCTATCTATAGCTTTTTACTTAAAGACTAACAGCTAGACTAAGAATGTAAACACTGTAATAAAATAAGTCTTATAAGTGTATATAAACTACTAGTAAAATAACTAGGTAAAATAGTTAGCTATAGCATAGTTTAAAGCTAATAACATAATATCTAAATTAACATAAGTATCTTTATTCTTAGTAAACTATAAATACTACCTTTAAATAAAATTTAAACTACTTTTAAATACCCTTTAACTAACTTATTAATTTATATAAGTAATAGATGTAAATAGACTTATTAACAAAATCTAAAATAGATCTAAATATATTTATAAAAAGCTTATATAGGCTTAAGCTTTTTAACAAGAGTACATAAACTAATTTTAAACTTCTACCCCTGCGTATGCAGCTAGTAAGAAGGTCTAGCTTAACGCTAGAAATATCTAAATAAACTAATAATTAAAAAAACTTAATTAGAAAAACCTTAGCTTTTTTATAGTAGCTTATATAGTCTTATTACACACTTACTAATTAATCCTACCTAACAGCATAAAGATATACCCTATGTTCTATGTATTATTGCTGCGCTAAGTAGCTTTTAAATCTAACTATTTATCTAAACAGCTAAACCTACTACTTAAACCTATTATTATAAATAATAAACTAGAATATGTTATAAAAGACATTAAATAAATTTAGTTTAACAAAAAAAAACATATTTATAAATACTTTATAAAATAAACTAAATACAACAAACTGTTATAAGAACCTGTAAAAGCCTTATAAAAGAACTTTATAGTAACTTAATTCTACGCCTAATACTTATCTAAACTAAACCTGTACCCTAATAAAGACAACTTAATGCTAGAACTACTAATGTAAAGGATTTTCTTCCTAATAAGGGGGGAGGTACTGTTACAGTATCCTCCCTAGATCCTAGACATAACTATATTAGATGTGTACTAGAGTATTATTAGTGCATGTCTAACATAAATATAATATAATATAGACATAAACTTAAGCATAAACTACTTTAACACTAACTAAACTTAAAATAGGCTTAATTTATACTTAAAGCGCTTAGACTTTTAAGCTAAGTATTTAATTACTAATTTTTTTTTTAACTTTCCTGTTTCTTACACAACGTCTTATACCTACTATAATACCTTACATAGTAATTAAACTAGACCTCTGTGAAGCTCTATAACCTTACTCGTGCACAATCGTGACAGCAGTAGTTGTTGTCGTTGCAGCCGTGGTCTGCGGGCGGGGACTTGTCGCTGCTGTGCGAACTGCAGAGAGCTTGTGCGCGTTTCCCTGGCAAAGGAATAACAAAATCAACTGCGCAGATGCTAGGCTAGGGAATTAGTGGCTTAGGCACAGCTAGGAGGCAAAGAAACCTTCAGTGGTAGTTATATAGTTGTAGTCATGGTGGTAGTTGTAGTTGTGGTCTCCAGTCGGGCTCGTAGCTGCTGCGCGAACTGCAGAGACTGTGCGGGCGTCCTTGTAAAAGGAAAATTCAAACTGCGCAGTCACCGGGCCGGGGTATCAATGCCTAAAAGCATGGCCAGAAAGTCAAGAAACCTGTTATGTTAGTAGTAGTGGTGGTAGTCGTCGTGGTCGGCGGGCGCGGCTGCTGGTGCAATGAACTGCAGAGCCTGTGCGCGCGTCCGCGCAAAAGGAAAATTAAAATCCACTGCGCAGTTACTAGGTTAAAGCATTTTCATGCGCCAAGCACAGCTAGAAAATAGACACTAACCTGCTGTGTTAACGATTGTGGTGGTCGTGGCACCACGGTTGTGGTGGTCGCGGGTGTTGCAGGCTCCGCGCAAGCTCGCACTGTGCGTGTTCCTCGCGTCCCCGCCCGCGATCTATTGTGTGCGTTAATCCGTGCAATCTGTCGGGGCAGGTAATCGATGAAATGTCTTGGCATTCTCGCTTCGTCAAATCCCCCACCCAAATTACTAGCCGCGTCAGACCTAACGCGCAACTAGCCCGCATTTTTACCTATTAACGCATCTACAAGAGCTTGTGAGTTAATCCTAAATTATTGCTTAATTAAGTAATTATAAGGCTAACTTTAATGTTTTAGAGAGCTGTTTAGCGTTACCCTACACGCCTATGTATTGCGCCCACAGGCTTTCTTAAGCACTGTAACGATTCTCATGAATCGTTCCATCTCGGGTCGCCCGGAACCTATCCGAAGGGTCTCCGTATCGGCTCCGACCCTGGCTCGACCCTGACTCGACTCTGCCCGGCCCCCTGCTGTTACCCCTATTCCCTCATGTATTTAGTCGCACCTCGCCCTGTAGCTAGCTCGGTAGTTTTCTGATATCCTACGTACAAGGCCTATAGGTGTCATTGGTATTCCCAGGTCTCTGAGTCCCCACGCACTCCCATATGCCTCTGAGTGGATTCATACCGCATTCAGACCCATTGTCTTGCCTGCGCCGTTACAAGCACCTTAGCTCTAGCAACCACGTCCTCTGCCTCTAAGCACCTGCGGCCTCTCTAATTAAACCTGCTAAAATATTGTGCGCTTTTTTCTTCTTAGATAGAAGCCTTAGCTTATTGCTAATTATAAGGGCTGTAGTAGAGGTGCTGTGTATAATGTAATAAAGAACTTAAAGGAGCATAGTAGTGTGCAAAAGCCACCTACAAAGAAGCTTAGACAGCTACTAAAGATTACTAGGGAAGACGCTAAGGCTTTGTTTAAGCAGCTTGTTTATTCTAGATAGATGTATTAAAATAAAATAGTTAAGTAGCTGCTTATTAAACGTAGGCTTAAAGTAAGCTGCAGGTGTGTAGGAAACTTTCTAAAAGATTAAGGTTAGAGCTGCTAAAGCCTAAGGCTATACTCTATTAATTATAATAAGGAGTTAAGGGAGCGCTATTACTGCGCTATAAGGTAATTTGCTGCTAATAATCTTATGTTTCTAAACAAGTTAATATTTAATAAAAAGACTAGCTAGCAGCACTACACTTATGCTTTTATAGGCTATAAGAGCTGTTATACTTAGAGCATTAAGCAAGAAGACACCTAAGCAATTCTACCTGCGTATACTATACACAGCTACCTTCTATGTATAGTAATTAAGGAAGGCTACTTTAACAAAGAGGATTTTATTAAGTGGATTTAGAATAGCTTTATTCCTACACTCTGCTTAGTGTACAGTCCTAAACACATAGTTGTTATACTTAATAACGTTGCTATCTACATAAATAATAAAGTAGAGACTGTTATTTAGGCTGCTAGCTATTTTATTTGTTATCTGCCTTTATACTTGCCTAATTATAATTCTATTAAGCTTACCTTTGCAGTTTTAAAGGCTTAGATCTAGAGGAACTACGTGTATATGCGCGCTTATTATAGAGGTGACTTTAAAGCTTTCTTAGCTACTACTGTTTACAAGAGTAACTATAATAAATTTGTAAAGAAGCACTTTAAATACGCTGCTAGCAGACTATATATTAAGCAGGAGAAGCTTAATTAGGTAAGGCGCGAGATTCTATAGTACTAAATAATTCTATTAATGCTATATAGAGTATCTCTATATATAATAGTAATATATAAAGCACTTTTACGTTGCATTGTCTTCACCTCTTACCTACCCACTAACCTTAGCTCTAGCACCTCTGCTAAAGGTGAGAAGGCTGCTTGCTGTATAATATACCTACTTAAAACAGCAGAGATCCTTGCTAAGGTGTTAAACTACGCTATCCTTAAGGCTAAATTCTATAGCAATAGAATAGAGGTTGCCTTTAAAGTTAGCTATTTAGTAAAGATTCTTAATAGTTTATTTCTGTTTAACAGCTACTTTACAAGCCTGTTTAAAATTAGCGCGCTTGTCCTCTAGCTGCTGTACAATAAGCTATGCAAAGAACTTCTGTACAACCTCTTAAGTATCCTCTTTGCCTCCTCCAGCTACTAGGCTAGATAAGAGAACTAGAATAGGCTTTTATACTAGTGTCTCTGCTTAGTAAGGCTGTTAATATTATAGATTAAAGTAAGCTAGCAGAACTAAAGAAGGTAGAGCTACTGCTCTTATCTGCTAAAGCTAAAACTCTTAAAGCTTACGCCTCTTAGCCTAAGTAACCTTGTCTTCCTCTATCTGCACTATTTAATTTAATACACGCTGCTTTTTAGCTTGCTTCTACAGCTTCCTAATTAATAGGCCTCTATCTAATAATAATAATAAGTCCTGCTGCTTCTTCTTTCTCTAGCAGCTATAGAGATTAAACTTAAGCTAATTTCTGCGTAGCTTTAACACCTTAATTACATCTAGATAAGGGAGCATAGCTAAGGACTTGCTGTTAATAATTAACTGCAACTACTGCTTAGCATTAACAGGCTTAATCTTATAGTAGCTGCTGTTTAGATAGATATAACACTATCTCCTAAAGTTATTACAACCAGCTACACTGCATTGCCACATTTTATAGATTATTAACTGATGATCTAGCTTAGATTTAATAGCAGTAACGCAATTAATAGCCTAGGCTTTGCGCAGAAGCTTCTGCGTACGTCTTCTGCTTGTTATTAGAGTATTATCCTTTGCAGGTGGTAAGGATAGCTTGTTTACTAATGTGTTACATATAAACGCCTTCTTTAATGCCTTAACCTATAGAGAGATCTCTACTTAAAACTCTACGCGTGTAGCACCCTTATAACGCTTAAAATGGAGATTAACAGCGTTAAATAGGCAAATCTCCTCTGTTAAGCTAAAATTAGTAAGTAGGAGCTGCTAGAAAGTAGCACCCCTCCTGTTACATTTGAACTAAACAACGCGACTCTGCCAGGTGTACTCCCGTCCATCAATTGTAGATGCTGGGTTGTTGATCAACGCCATCACCTTATCCTCCATTAACAATAGGAGGAGGAAGCATCGCTCGGTGCTCTCTACATCCCCAGGCCTCCTTACTGTGTTGACGTGAAGCGAATATTGTATATTGATCTCATACTGTGGCTGCTCAGGTTCAACGGGCGACGAAGCTCGAGCAGGTGGCAGAGCAGGTGGCAGAGCAGGTGGCAGAGCAGGTGGCAGAGCAGGTGGCAGGGCAGGTAACAGAGCAGGTCGCGGAACAGGTCGCGGAACAGGTGGCGGAGACGACGGCAATTCGACGATAGAAGCTAGAGGCGAAGGAGGAGCTTCTACAAAGGCAACTGAGTTCTTCAAACGCTGTTTGGCAGCAGCAGCAGCTGCTGCTGCTGCTTGCTTACAAGCCTTAGGATAAGCCTTCTGTGCCTTCTTTGGTGCCCGGGTAGGTGCTTTAGGAGGTGCTTTGCCACAGCTACTCGAACGCGTAGATTTGGCTGGAGGAGCGTCTACAGAGCTCGCGAAAACTATCTGCAAAACACCAAAAGTCAGCTTCACAATTACCCAATTAGGCAATTCCACAGGCCTCACTTTGACGACGAGAGCAAGTCTGATATATACGCGATAGGCCGATTATTGCGCGCTGGTCTGACTCGGCTAGTAATTTGGGTGGGGGATTTGACGAAGCGAGAATGCCAAGACATTTCATCGATTACCTGCCCCGACAGATGTCTTGGCAACACCTCAAACTTTGCTTTCCGCCACTAAATTTGTATAAGAACTTGAAATTTTGCTTATAAAACCCTACAACTACCTAACATCTCTTAATTTTAGTAAACATTTAGGCGCTGTACGTACTTTCTATTTAGGAAATAATAAGGCTAGGTTTTAATGTTTAAAATAGCTTTCTAGCTATGTTTTAAGCTTACAGAGTCTCTTGTTGCCCACTACCTACTCAGCAACCCCTAGCGCTTACTGTGAGCGCCTGTGGCCTATCTAATTGTATGTGTATTAATATATGTTGTTTTTTACTGCTTAGATAGAGGCCGCAGGCAATTACTAATTAAAAGGGGTGCAGCAACTGCGCAGTATATAATGTAATAGATAATCTAAAGACACACAGTAGCATAAGAGCACTTATCTAAGGCAGGCTTAGTTATCTACTAGTAATTAGTAAGAAAGACATAAATGCTTTTTTTAGTAAGCTTATCTACTCTAGGTAGATGTACTAGAACAAGATTACACTCTAGTTATAAGTAAAAAAAAGCATTTAAATTAATTACTTAAACATATCTTAGTTTCTCTTTTAATGTAGATAAAGTTGCTAAACACTTTAAGCGTTTTTTATTAATTAAAATAAAGAACTTTATAACTTATATTATAACTTAATAAGACACTTTATAGCAGAGGATCTAGTGTTTCTTAACAAGTTAATCTTTAATAAGAAGACTAGCTAGCAGCACTACATGTACAGCCTAGTTAGCCACATCTTTTAGTATACCTAAGATATTGCTTAAAGCAGTACTTAGTTAATTTTCTTTGCGTATATAATTAACAGCTATCTCTTTTATACAGCTATAAAGAAAGGCTACTTTAATTAAAAGCAGTTTCTTAAGTAGATTAAAAAGAGTCTAATCCCTATGCTCTAGGTTGTGTATAGTAAGAAGCACCTAGTAATTATTCTAGATAACATCTTAATTTATATAAATAATAAAGTAACATAGATTATTAAGGCTAGCAGGTATTTAGTAAGGTATCTGCCTTTATACTTACTTAACTATAATCTAATAGAGCTTACCTTTGTAGTGCTTAAGGTATAAATTAAAAGAAACTATCTATACATTTAAGGGCGTTTTAGTAGTAACTTTAGTGCCTTTTTAAAGGCAGCTATTTAAAAAAGCAAATGCAACTATTTTACTTAAAAGCACTTTAAGTACGCAGCAGAAGGGCTATATATTAAGCAGGAGAAGCTAGAGCGTGTAAGGAGAGAGCTAAGAGAGCTTAAAAGAGTAGAAGAGTTTAAATTTAAATAAATTATTTAGCTATATTATTTTTACTACTAGTTCTGCCTTACTTACTACTACCTATTTTAAGCAGGCTGCTAGCTGTATAATATATTAGCTTAAACTAATAGAGATCTTTATAAAGATAGTAAACAAGCCTATCTTTAAGCCTAAACTAGGTAACAGTAATAGTATACAGGTTACCTTTAACTCTGCTTATCTTATAGAGATCCTTTATAGTTTATAGCTCCTTAGTTACTACCTTTTATATGTAGAGGTAAGGATCTTTTTTATTCTTTAGCTATTACTTAACTAACTACTTAAAAAAGTTCTTTACTGTTTTTTAGGTATTCTATTTACTACTTTTTATTATAAGACTTAAAGAACAACTTAAAGATTAAGGCGCTATTAAAGTAATAACTAGCAGAGTATATAGCTGCTAGTAGTAAGGGAGTAGAGCAGCTCTTATAGAAGGGATACTAGCCTGCGCTTAAAGCTATTAGAGATAAAGCTGTTAAAACTTTTATTACTCTACTTAAGTAGCTTTCTTATTACTTATTTTTACTATTTAGTTAAGTAACTGCTGCTAGCTTATCTACTTTACTAGCTTTTTAAATAACAGCTTATTTAATAATAATAAGCCTAGCCTCTTCTTCTTATTCTTTTACATGTAAGAGTTTACCTAGAGCTTGTTACTTTTTTACTGCAGCACCCTAACAATTTTATAACTAGGTACTATAATAGAAGACTCTCCTATAACTATAGACCTTCCCTACGCCTTAAAGTTAACTAGTTTAATAGCATAGTAAGATTAGTCTAGGTAGATATAGCACTACTTTTTATAGTTATTGCAAAGCTCTGTCTAGCACTCCCACGTACACGCAATTGCTAAGTGGTGGTCTATTGCCTTAGATATCTTCTCCACTCGCTTTGCCGCCCTAGCTTTACGCAGCAGCTGCTGGGTACAACAGCTGCTTAGTATTATTAGTGTAGTATTTAGATCTAATAATAGCTTATTAGCTAATTGCCTACGCAGAAATGCCCTCTGCAGAGCTTTAACTTTAACATAAAGCTTTACTTTAAAATCTACCCTATTAATCCTCTTAGTAAAGTGCTTAATATAGCAATTAACTGCTTTAAGTAGGTAAGCGCCTTTTATAAAACTAAAGTTAGCTAAGGTAATGTGCTGCTAGGTAGATTTAGGGTGCTTAGCTTAATAGCTTACTAAGTAACTAAGCTAGGTAACTTCCTACCTGTTAATTATAGAAGCTGCATTAGTAAGCACTAAGTCTACTTTGTCCTTTATAAACAATATAAAGAAGACTAGCTGCTAGTAGTTATTGCTGTTGTTAACTACCTAGTTCCTATTTACACATAGAATATACTTTATATCCATCTTATAGTTAGGCTCTTTAGGAGGTGGGGACAATTGCTGCTAAGGTAATAGTTAACACTCTAGCTCTACTAGTAATAGTGGTGATAATAGTATCTTGTCACGGTATCCTCCCCGGATCCCAGACATAACTGTATTAGACGCGTACTAGAGTATTATTAGTGCATGTCTAACACAAACACAACATAACACAGACATAAACTTAAGCATAAACTGCTTTAACACTAACTAAACCTAGAATAGGCTTAATTTATACCTAAAGCGCTTAGACTTCTAAGCTAAGTATTTAATTACTAATTTCTTTTTAAACCTTCCTATTCCTTACATAACATCTTATACCTACTATAATACCTTATGTAGTAATTAAACTAGACCTCTGCAAAGCTCTATAACCTTACTTATGCATAATTATAACATTATGTTATGTTAAAACCTTAGCTAAGAATAGCCTTTAAATTTAATTTAATAAGCTTAGTACTTATATAACTCTAAGCTATTAAAGTAAGCTAAAAAGCCTTTTAAAAAGCGCTTACTTTATAAGAAAGCTACTACATTATAAGCTTTAAAGCTTTTTAAAAAAACTTTAAAGAATAGCTTTATGTTATTAAGTAGTCTATTTCTGCCTTAACTTTTATTATAGTAGTAGGAACTAAGAACTTACTAGCCTTAAAGCTTACTTAGAAGTCTAGAGATAGCTTAACTTTTTTCTGCTTAATGCTACCTATAACTTATAACTTTTTTAACTTAGTAATAAAATCTAACTAACTCTCTAATCCCCTACTATTTAATAGAAAATAAAAAGACCTACTTTTTTTTCTACGCAAGCTTTAATATAAACTTAAAGGAAACATAGACTAATTCCTTTTTAAACACTTTTAGTTACTATATGCTTACTTTTAACTTAACTATAATATAACAGCCTTAATTAACTTACTAATAAATAAAAATATTATTAACTTAAATTAATTTATAGTGTTCTTATAAGCAACTTATAAAGACTTAAATAAAAAGTTAATAGCCCTAAGTTACCTAAACACTTTATAATAAAAAAAAAAAGCTTTACTTTACACTTTACTAAGTTCTACTAACTTACATCTAATATAGGCCTAAATAAAATAGGTTTAATTATAGCTCTACATAACTTTCTCTTAACTAAACTATAACATGCTATAGTAGGAGAACCCCTTCTAAATAACTTTAACATGTATGTAAACCTAATTGCTACTTACAATAATAACATAAAGTTTCTCTTTATACAAGCCTTAATACACTCCTAAACTAGCGTAGTTACAAATAAAGACTTTAATATAATAAAAATTAATTTAAATTATGCTTTAGTTAGTTCTAGAAAGCGTAAAAATTAGAAAAAAAAAGTTAATATTTTAAGTGTAGTAAGCATAGTTATATTTCTTAAAACTACTTTATTCTCTTTTTTTAAGTCTATGTAAGTAGCGCTGCTAGTACTTATTAAAGATTTTTACTATTTTAATCTTATTTTTATAAGAGCTTTAACTTATATTTAAGCTTTAATCCCTTTTACTACTCTTAACATAGCTGCAGCTATAGTAGTAAAAGCCTATAAAAAGGCTTATTCTAGGGCTAAGTTGCCCCTTAGGACTAATTTAACACTAGATCTTTGCTAACTTATAAGCTAAGTCCTCTACTAATAACTAAAAGTACTAAGTTAATATTTTTATATATTTATAATAAAAAACTATATTAGCTTTAATATAAGCTTTTATTAACTTAGAAGTAAACAGTATAAGTTATATTAATAAAGAACTAGCGTGTAAACTAAATCTTTAATTAACACTACTTACCTAAATAATTTACTTAACTAGATTTAATAAAAAATAACTTAAAAAAAGTTCTATTTTTTGTACTATAACTATTATAATTACCTACTAACACTATAAGAAGTAGATTAAACTTTATGTAATAAACATAAAATGTTATAACCTAATCTTAGAACAACTATAGCTATATTAGCATAAGGTTACTTTTAATTACTAAAAGTAAGTTCTAAACTTTAACTCTTTTTAATGCTAAAACATATACTTACACTTACACCTAAATAATACTTAAATAGCACTTAATATAAAAGGTTTCTAAACCTACTTTTTAATAACCTAAAAAAAAACTACTTAAGTAAGGCTAATAAGCTAGGCCTTTTACTAAAATAAGCTATGTAAAATAATTTAATAACTACTTAAACTTAAAGAAAAAAAAGCCTTTAAAGAACTTCTACTTACTTAATTTAGACTTAAACTAGGACTTAAACAGCAGATAGACATCTACTACATAAAACCTGCCCTATTTATAACCCTAGCTTAATAACTAGATTACAAAATCTATGCAGTTATAATTTTTAATATAGACTAAGCTTTAGCTCCCTAAAAACACACTAACTTAAAAATAATAGTCCCTTAAAACTACTATAACTTATTACATGTTTTTTTCTAAAATAAGTCTAATAAGCTTTTAATATAATGTCTATATAATTACTTAATAACCTTTAAGCCTAGTAAATAACTTAGTTATAGGCTACTATATAAAATGTTGCTAAATAAATTAAAAGTGCTTTAAAAATACTTTAATAAGAACTTAAAAAAAGAGTTTATTTAAGCTAGCTTTTTACTAGTAGTGTTACTTATACTATTTATAAAAAAACCTAGAGGTAGGCTTTAATTCTATGTTAACTACTAAGGACTAAATACTGTTACTATTAAGAACTAATACTTAATTTTTTTTTTATAAAAAACTCTAAGCTAACTAAGTAAAGTAAAGTATTTTATAAAGTTAAATATTATTACTACTTTTAATAAGCTAAGAATAGTAAAGGGTAATAAGTAGCTAATAGTGTTTTAGACCTAATATAAACTATTTAAGTACTTAGTAATGCCCTTTAGCTTAGCTAACACGCCTAGTACTTTTTAACATTTTATAAATAACTTGCTTTAATGCTACCTAGACATGTTTTGCACTGCGTATATTAATAATATTCTAATTTATAGTAATAGCCTTTTAAAGTACAAATAGCATGTACGCCTAGTACTAAAGGCTATAGAAGAAGTAAGTCTATAACTTAATATAAATAAATGTAAGTTCTACTAATTAAAGGTTATGTATTTAAAATATGTAATCTTTATAGATAACATTTAAATAGACCCTATTAAAGTTTAGACTGTGCTAGATTAGTAATACCTAAAAAATATAAAAGATGTTTAAGCCTTTATAAAATTTACTAACTTTTACTAATAATTTATTAACAACTTTTTACAGCTAGTAAGCCCTATAATTATACTTACTAAAAAAAAGGTTTAATTTAACTTTAACTTAAATTACTAATAGTTTTTTAACTAGCTAAAGAAAGCCTTTACTAAAGCCTTAATACTCTACTACTTTAACTTTAAACTACTAATACTTATAAAAGCTAATGCCTTAAACTATGTAGTAGCAGGAGTTCTTTTCTAGACTAAGCTAGATAGGACTATTAGGCCTATTACATACTTCTTAAAAAAAATAAGTCCTGCAGAAAGTAATTATAAGATCTATAATAAAAAATTACTTACTATAGTATGCTACTTTAAATAATAGTAACCTAAACTAGAAGGTGCAGCGCATCTAATACAGGTTCTATCTAACTATAAAAACTTATTGTACTTTACAACTATAAAATAACTTAGCTACTAATAAGCCTATTAGTTTAAATACTTATTTTATTTTAATTTTAAGATTACTTATTATTCTAGTTAAAACAAAGAGAAACTAAATGCTTTTATAAAGTAATCTTAAAACATCTTTACTTAAAAAAAAGTGTAAAAAGCTTAACACTAAACTTTACTTTAACTTAAGCTATTTTTAAACCTTAACTTAAATAAAATAAATTAGATAATTAATTAAATTATTACTAATAAGTA